ACGTGAATATAAAGTGTGAAATATAAAAGATGAAGTAAATGTGTCACTTTCAGGAGTTTGTGTAAAAGTGCGTTAGCTCCGGGGGCCGCGGGGCTCCGGGGGCCGCACACGGAGCACCGAACCCCGGCCAACAAAAGCCCTACCGCCCGCTCCGTGTCCAGCGGAACCACCGTGACACCAGGCCCAGAACCGAGCCACCGGCCCGGGCTAACACAGACCCGAACCCCACCCGAACTTTCCTCCCGGACTGAACCTAAACACACGCCGGGATCAGAGCGCGGACCCCCGGCTCCAGCGCGGCCGCCCCCCGAGCTCTGCGGGGCTCTGCGGGGCTCTGCGGGGCTCTGCGGGGCTCTGCGGGGCTCTGCGGGGCTCTGCGGGGCTCTGCGGGGCGGCGGGCGGCGGCCGGAGCGTCTGTCCCGGCGTGTGGAGCTCGTCCCCCGGGTCCGTGAGGAGGAAGTTCCCCGGACGCACCAAAGAGTTTCGGATCAAACTCAAACACTTCTGCCATTTTAGACGCGATCAGATGAGACTTTGTGACAGATTTTTCCAGATTTAGTTTGTTTTTTGGTGCCGGTTTCATCTTTCAGCCTTTGGACCCGCTGCTGTCCGGGGTTCGGCTGCAGCGGGGTTCCGGAGCGGGGTTCCGGAGCGGGGTTCCGGAGCGGGGTTCGGGGGAGGAGAGTTGGGGGATGCCCGCTGCACGAGGCCCCGCCGCCCGCTGAGTCTCCTCCGGAAACTCCCCCCGAACACACCCGAGCACCGCGCACCGAACCCCGGTCACAGCGCGCCCCGAACCCCGCTGACGTGGACCGAACCTTCCCCCCCGGCGGACCCGCACCCACAGACGCGGCGGTGAACCCAGGAGCGGCAGCCCGAGGAGGAGCGCTCTTACCCGGCTGCTGAGGCCGCTCCGCTCCGCTGGGACTCCCGCGGCGATCCGGACCAAACCCCGGCTCCGGCTCCGGCCCGGTCCCAGGTCCGAGGGAAGGTCCAGGTTTAGTCCGGGTTTAGTCCGGGTTGGGTCCAGATCACGGTCCGGACGGGTCCATCTGTCTCTTGTTTGTCCTGGTTCGGATCGAAACGGACTTTAAAGCAACAGTGACGCAATATCCGTCAATGCGCATCAAAGAGCGAGAGCGGCGTTTCCCGGAAGTCCTTTCACAATAAAACGGAACTCCCTAAAAGAGGTTCTGCTGTAACCATGGCAACAAACTTCCCACTTGAAATATTATTCTCCCGATTTTATTTGTTTATATTTTGTATTTGCAAACTGCTTTAATTTATTGCATTTAATTTTCTGTATCTTATTTTCCTATTTAGAGCCATTTTGTTGTTTCATTTATTCTATTAACTGTACGAAGACACTTTTTGTTAAAATAA